TATATATATGTGTATATATATATGTGTGTGTGTGTGTGTGTATATATATATATATATACATAATCTGTCGAACATATGAATATTTATCCACATAGAAAAATAATACAACTTCTTAATGACTTTTGTTATATTGTATTATGTTTTGTAATATTGTTATATTATATAAAAATCCACATATCATATTAATGTTAATCTAGAATCAGAATTACTTATGTTATGCAAATCTGCATGCGTATATATAATTTATTGTGCATTATATAATAAAGATATATTATTTTTTTATTAATGTTTTAATAATGTTATGTTTTCTTACCTTTAAAAAAGGAAAACTTGCAACAAACTAGAAATCATACTGCTAATATGTAACACACTACAATATACAGCTTAAATGTAACCCTGTAAATTCAAACACACTTTTGTTAGAAAAAAATGATGACATGATGCAAAATAGTTTAGTAAATGTAAACGTAATGATTAAGCCACTGAAACGCTCTTTTACACTTTTACTAACTTTTGTATGTTAACCGCTTTTCATGGAGCCTGATGTATCCTTTATAAATACAAAAGGAGTTTTTGATACAGGTCCTTAAATGAATGTGTCAGGTTTAATACAAGTTAATTAGAAGTTGATTAGAAAATATTTTCAACTAGTCCCCCAGTTTGGAAAAAAAAGAATAAAAATCTGACTTTTTCTAGGCAGATGAATATTTGTGCTCAATTGCTTTTATGCGACTCCTCTGAATCATCTGGTTTAATATGAATCTCCCTCTGTCTCTAGGTATCTGTGTAAGTTGTCGGATCAGGAGCTGCGTCAGAGCGCGGCGCGTAACATGGCTGATCTGATGTGGAGCACGGTGAAGGAGCCGCTGGACAGCGCGCTGTGTTTTGACAGAGAGAGCCTGGATCTGGCCTTCAAATACTTCATGAGTCCAACGCTCACCATGAGACTGGCCGGCCTGAGCCAGATCACGGTACGAGAGACACAAAAATACAAAAACTCTCTGCCATAGTCTCCAGCCGGTGTTGAATGATCTGTGCTTGTGTTTCTGTAGAATCAGCTGCACACCTTCAATGACATTTGTAATAACGAGTCCCTGGTGTCTGACACTGAGACGTGAGTGCTACGAGTCCACTGCTATTAGTAGTTCAGTCCAGCTAGACGTGTATTGACATCTTTCTTTCCTCTCTCAGGTCGATAGCAAAGGAACTCGCTGACTGGCTCATCAACAACAATGTTGTGGAGCACATATTTGGACCAAATTTGCACATTGAGGTGAGTCCAGTAGACTTTCATAGATACAGAAACTAGCGCAGGTACGTTTCAAAAGTGTGCAGGTGATGTGAAGTTTCGTTCTGTCCAAGCGCTGACTAAAGGTGTATTATTTCTGATTGTGCTTGTGGTGTTTGTGCTGTAGATCATTAAACAGTGCCAAGTGATCCTGAACTTCCTGGCAGCCGAGGGCAGGCTGAGCACTCAACATGTGGACTGCATATGGGCCGCCGCTCAGGTACACACACAGACACACACACACACACACACACACACACACACTATTTAGACCACACCATTTTATATATTGTGCACATTTTCTGCATAGAATACATTTGTAAAAATGTGCAGTAAACTATTAGAGCACAATGTAAGTAACACTTTATCCTACAATGCAGTGGGATAGTTTTAGTTAACAATAACACCTGCATTGTACGCAACAAGAAACATTTTGATTCACATCTGACATAAAAATTGTTATTTTGCTTTTTATACAATTTAGTGTTTAATTTTTGAAAACCAAAAATATTAAAATAAAAGCTCATTTAAAATATGAATAAATACTATAATAGTGTTATATAAATAAATCTAAAACAACGCTGCATGCTATGTACTGCATCAAACTAATTTTTAAATTTAGTAATTTTCTTTCCACTCTGTCGCTGTCTTTAGCTGAAACACTGCAGTCGCTACATCCATGACCTGTTCCCCTCGCTCATAAAGAACCTGGACCCTGTTCCTCTGCGACACGTGCTTAGTCTGGTGTCAGGGTTACACCCCAGCGCACACACCGAACAGGTAACGCACGTTCTCAGATTACATCCACACACATGTTAGAGTTACACACAGCCAGTTTAGTCATATACAAAACTAGATGCCTGCTCTCACTAACATACTTTGAAACAGACTAAAACTTACCTGGCTATCCAGTATGTGGTTGTTGAGTTGTTTCTCTGCTTGTGTAGACACTGTATTTGGCGTCCATGTTGATCAAGGCCTTGTGGAATAACGCTCTGGCAGCCAAAACTCAGCTGTCCAAACAGAGCTCTTTCGCCTCTCTGCTCAACACCAACATTCCCATGGGCAACAAGAAAGGTGTGTTGTGTTTGACATCTGCTTTCTGATGTGCATGCCAAAGATTTAAAATCGAGATTTCTCAGTTGGAAGTTGGTGTAGATATATGCTTTTTTTTAATGTATTCTGAATTATTGTATTAAATTTAGGTCAGAATCCAGGAAAAGTAAAAAATGGCAATTAAAGTCAACATGAAATGGAGTGCACAAATTATTTTACTACTAAAATGTGAAATATTTCTAAGTGCAATTGAGAGTTTCTGTTAAAAGATTTTATTTATGTACTCAGGATCTCAGTGTAGCGTCTTTTTGGTTAAAATGTCAGTTATATTTTATTTTTCCCCCAGGTTCTCCTGCAGGAAGCCCAGAGAGCAGTGACAACAGCGACACGCATCACAGTGGAGGAAGTGACATGGAGATGGACGAGCCGATCATGAGCAGTGGAAAACGAGGGCAGCAGAGGCTGTCGGACACGGAGGTGACACATTTTCCAAAAGATGATTTGAAACCATGTCATTCAGCTTCAGCTTATTAGGTGTTTTTTGCCGTTCCACAGGAGTCTCTGCAGGGCAGCTCTGATGAGACGGCCAACAGCGGCGAGGAGGGCAGCAGCAGCGGCCGCAGCGAGGCATCCAGCAATGAGGCTGGATCCAGCCGAGCCAGCCAATCAGCAGGCAGCCCGGGCAGCGAGCTGCACTCCGACGACATGGCTGACAGCGAGGCCTTGAAGGAGGAGGAAGAGGAGGAGGAAGAAGAAGAGGACGATGACGAGGATGATGAAGACGAGGACGATGAAGACGACAGGCCCGCTGTCGTCTCCGAGGGCAGCCCGCAGAAAGACACCAGAGACTCCAGAGAGCCGTCTACGTCAGAGCTGCGCAAACGCAAAGCTGGTGAAGCACTCGGAGAGGTCCAAGGTCCTCCGGAGCGACCCGGAATTCCGCCCGGCATTCCCGGCTCCATCGCCTCCGCTCCCGGACTTTCCAAAACCAAATCCATTCCTTTCACCCCAGAGGCAGCCGCTGCCATTGTAGCCTCGTCTTCTTCCCTTAGGATCCTCGAGCCTTGCTCTTCTTCATCCGTGTGCCTGGAGGGAACGTCGGGAGAGCAGGCTGATTCCCAATCCCAGAACCCCCAGCAACCACAGCAGGGTGGCACAGAGATGGGCTCCTCACACGGAGCGTCTGTTTCCCAGGAGCCGCCCTGCATGCCTCGACCAGCAGACTTCCTGACGGAGGCTATGGGCAATGAGCTCTTCAACTGCAGGCGTTTCATCGGCCCTCAGCATCACCATCATCGTCACCACCATCATCATCATCATCATCACCACCACCATGATGGGTGAGTGGTTTTTAATGTGACTTTGACGTTACCTCTGTTCCAAAACCTAGTGAGCTGCCTAGATGTCTACATAGGCAGCATCCTAACATCAATGGAACATCATAAGTGCGTTTTGGGATTGCCTATTCCAAGAAGGTGTCTTAAAAGGTTGCTTTGATGCCTTAAAGTGTTGTCTAGGTAGACAGCTCACTAGGTTTTAATGCAGAGCCATTGTGTCTTCTGGTAACAGACTCTCAACACAGACTTTCACTCTCCACAGTCACATGGTAGAGGACATGCTGAGCGCTGATGACGTGAGCTGCAGCAGTTCTCAAGTCAGCGCCAAATCCGAGAAGAACATGGCGGATTTTGATGGAGAGGAGTCTGGCTGTGAGGAGGAGCTGGTCCAGATCAACTCGCACGCAGAGCTCAGCTCGCACCTGCAGCAACACCTGCCTAACCTGGCCTCCATATACCACGAACATCTGGTGCAAGGTACATATACCTCCAAAGACTGCCGCCACAGTGCTAGGATGTTCTGGGTGTGTTCTAGGGCGTTGCTCAGTTGTAATTAGGGTATTCTGTGTGGTTTCTAGGGCATTGCTAGGTTTTTAAGGTGTTCTAAGTGGTTGCTTGGCATAGCTCAGCTCTGTGGTAATTAGGGTATTCTTGTGGTTTCTTGGTTGTTGCTAAGATGTTGTTCTTTGGTTATTAGGGTGTTCTGAGTGGTTGCTAGGGCATTAGTAGGTTTGTAAGGTGTTCTACATGGTTGCTCGGGCTCCGTGGTAATCCGGGTGTTTTATGTTGTTACTAGGGCATTGCTATGTGGTAATCTTGGGTGTTCAGTGTGGTTACTAGGGTGTTGCTAGGTTTTTAGGTGTTCTAAATGTTTGTTAGGGTGTTGCTCTGTGGCAATTAAGGGTATACTGGGTGGTTTCAAGGATGTTGCTAGGTTTCTACAGTGTTCTAAGTGGTTGCTAGAGTGTTGTTCTGTGGTAATTAAGGGTGTTCTGAATGGTTTCTAGGGCGTTGCTAGGTTTTTAAGGTGTTTCTTTGCTTTGTGGTAATTAGGGTGTTCTGGGTGTTTTAAGGGGTATTGCTAGGACGTTGTTCTGTGATTATGGTGCTCTGTGTAGTTTTTAGGGTGTTTCAAGGCTTTTAAGGTGTTTCTATGTGGTTGTTAGGGTGTTACTAGGTTTTTAGTGTGTTTCTAAGTGATTGTTCTGTGGTAATTGAGGTGTTTTGGGTGGTTTCTAGGGTGTTGCTAGGTTTTTTAAGGTGTTTCTAAGTGGTTGCTCTGTGGTAATTAGGGTGTTCTTGGTGGTTTATGGGGTGTTACTAGGATGTTGTTCTGTGATTATTATGGTGTTCTAGGGCTCCAGACTGTGCCTAAAATGGTCCAAAAATATTAATTTGCGAGTGAAGTTTTTGCTGAGATCGCCACTGGCGACTATATAAATGTACATGTGATGATTTAAAACCTTGCATGTAATGCCTTTTTTCCTGCTTGTTTTGCGATCACATCATTTGTTATGTTGACGTAATAAACTGAGACGATGCGCATCAAAGTTTTAGAGAAAAAACAGTCCTCATCTCTGCTGAACACCAGCACTGACGGCACACCTGCTGAAAGCAGCTCCAGCTGTGGCAGCATGAGAGAGTGAGAAAATGATGGAGACGTGCGAAGTAAAAGTGTAGAAATGCAGGGTCTATTTCATGCACAACTTGAACAAACTACAACAGGTAAAGCTGTCAGCAGTGTGGATTTTAGCAATATCGTTAACAATTCTCATTTATAATCAATACTAATATGGCTTCTTGTAATCAGGATCTTTAGTCTAAATGCTGTGTTCTGTTAAAGGCACAATATGCAAGATTTTTTTATTAAAATATCCAAAAACCACTAGAACAGTGTTATATATTTTGCTGACTTATGCATTTACATTATCCCAAATGTTTCGAATAATTTTTAAATCCAGAGAAATAAGCAATTTTAACTAGTGAAACGGACCGTGTCCATAGTGTCATTGTGTCGCCTGCCAATGACGTCATAACCCCTCGATTTCCGGTTTTGTTTTTGTAGAAAACATGGAAACACCAAAAACGCTTTAATATGCTATGCATTTTATTAGACAGGTGACGACCGCACAGAGTAGCATTATAACAGAACGTTCAAATGTATCTAGTATGATAAAACAGCGCTGCTTTACCCCACATACTCGTGACCGGAAGGAGCGGAAGCGGTCGACTGTGGCATAATAAAAGCTCCGCTGCTTGTCGTGTGTCGCACTCATTTCGTTTCGACAGCTTTCAGCCTCACCCTGCTTCATACTACGATGTTAATTCATCTTTAATACATTAGCTCATCCATGAACATGATTTCTGGCCGAGTCCCATCGGATTGCTTCGGCTGTGGGGATGAAGACTACAACTCCCATGATTCCACACTCAGTCACAGCATCATCAAACTACGCCTTTGTTTGTTTTGAATACGCGCCCTCTAGTGGCAAAAAATTACATATTGTGCCTTTAATGCGTGAACTTTATATTATTTGTAGAGCACTTGACGTCCAATAATCGCAAAAAGCTTTGTGCTCTGTTGCCTTTTAATAAACAAAGGATCAGCTTTAAAATTCTGCCAAATTCATAATGAAAGTCAGACAATAAATTTTGTCAAACAAAAAGCCATTTTGGTGCTCTTTAATGCGGCATGAGCGATCGCTTTAGCGCCTCAGTTCAAGCGGCACGTGAACCCATCATATCTTTCTCTTTACTACTATAGTATGAAATAAACATGAATGAACATCAATAGGTATATTATAAGAGAGCCTACAGTACATCTTACTGAAATGTCTCATGTAATCGCTCATTCAGTGTTTCAAACTGCGGAAAATGTGTAAAGCTTGTAAACAATGCCACGTAACAATACATTTACCACAGAATAACCATTCGGCGTCCATAAGCTCATTAGTCAGCTTGAAAAAATAACTATAAAGAGGAGCATTTTGCCAAATTTATGCGCTATATTGGATATTCCTATTGTCCACTTGATAAGAAAGAATGCAAGGAGCTAAAGGTAAAATTCAACACCTCCTATATAATTGCATGTTACTAATGAAGAAAAACAGACTGGATGTGTGCAGGACATATGACAGCATTTATGGGATGCATTCAGGAGGAGCTCAAACTACACTCAAGGGTCAAGTGATGCTGATATAATTATGGTCTGTGATATTGGCACAGATTCTGTGTAATAATCAATTCTTTGTGACTGTATATAGTTCTCAAGTTGGAAAAGACGTTTAGTTAGTGAACCTTAGTTCCCAGGACATCTACAAGATGGATTAAAATGCTGATAAAGACAAGACAAGATGAAACATAAACATCAAGTATGACTGAAAGGTTAAAGTGTTAAAAAATATATAAAACACATTTATTCTGTGGCACTTAAAAAAATAATTTGATGCCTAATTTTGTTTCTTATTGGAGCCAATGGCGCCTTAATTTAATTATTTCTTTCTTTTTTTTGTCTGGAGCCCTGTGTTCTGAGTGGTTTCTAGGGTGTTGCTAGGTTTGTAAGGTATTCTAAGTGGTTGCTATAGTGTTGCTCTGTGGTAATTGTGTTTTGGATAGTTGCTGGATTTCTGAGGTGTTGCCCTGTGGTTATTAGGGTGTTTTGATGGTTTCAAGGGTCTTCTGAGTGGTTGCGATGATGTTGTTCTTGATTCTACAGTTCATTTTACCTAAACTTACTCAAATCTGATTTCAAACAAAAGTCACACGATAGTTTCAGTCTGATGTTTTTCTAAACGTCTGCTCCAGGTCCGGCGGTGCACAAACATCAGTACTCTGCGCACGCGGTGACCGACATCAACCTGGACAACGTCTGCAAGAAAGGCAACACCCTTCTGTGGGACCTGGTCCAAGATGACAATGCGGTATGTTTACCTCACAGCAGACTATTCAAAGTATTTAACATTTAGAGTCAGTGATGTGATTCTCGTGTTGTCTCGGTGACTAGATCCACCTATCAGAAGGCTTGATTAATGAGGCAGAGAAGCTGTTGTGCTCTCTGGTCTGCTGGTTCACTGACCGTCAGATCCGCATGCGTTTCATCGAGGGCTGTCTGGAGAACCTCGCCAACCACCGGTGAGACCATATGAAGATATATGAAGTACTGTATGAAACTGCTGAAGAGGTTTGGGTTTCTCCAGTAGGAGATATTTGATTGTTTTGTTTCTGCTTGTGTTCATCAGGTCAGTGGTGGTGTCTTTGCGTTTGCTGCCAAAGCTCTTCGGGACCTTCCAGCAGTTCGGCTCCAGCTACGACACTCACTGGATAACCATGTAAGAAAAACTCCGCCCATCACTGCTATCCATGTTGTCATTACTTGAAACTTAGAACACTTTACGTGTGATTTTGAGAGTTCTTCCTGTGCTACAGGTGGGCGGAAAAGGAACTGCACATGATGAAGCTCTTTTTTGATGATCTGTTACACTATATCCAGGAAGTGAGAGAGCAGCGCCACAAATTCGCTCTGTAAGTTTAGTGTCTCTATTTCTATATTACTCTTCAAAATTTGGGGTCGGTAGGATTTTTTTCAATGTTTTTGAAACATTATGCAAAAACACAGTAAAAACTACAATATTGTAAAATATTATTACAATTTAAAACAACTGTTTTCTATTTCAATATATATTATGTAATTTATTGCTGTGATCAAAGCTGAATTTTCAGCATCATTACTCCAGTCTTCAGTGTCACATGATCCTTCAGAAATCATTCTAATATGCTGATTTGCTGCTCAAGAAACATTTCTTCTTATAATTATTATCAGTATTGAAATCAGTTCAGAAATCAGAAATTTCCATTTTTTTCAGGATTCTTTGATGAATGGAAAGTTCTAATAATTGTAACCTGTCAAAAATGTCTTCCCTGTCACTTCTGATCAATTCAGTGCATCCTTGCTGACTAAATGTATTAATTTCTTCTTTTTTTTAACAATTTTTTGTCTGAATTTTGCATATGAAGTGCAGTGTTAACATCCTGTGTGTCTCAGGTACAGTCACAGTGCAGAGGTGCAGGTGCGTCTGCAGTTCCTCACCTGTGTGTTCTCAACGCTCGGATCACCTGACCACTTCAGTGAGCATCTTTATCTTTCACACGTCGCTGCATATATGAGAATTGCCCCATATGTAACTATACGAATGTCCCGTGTGTGTGTCAGGGTTGAGTCTGGAGCAGGTGGACATCCTGTGGCACTGTTTAGTGGAGGACTCTGAGTGTTACGACGACGCCCTGCACTGGTTCCTAAACCAGGTCCGCAGTAAAGACCAGCACGCCATGGGCATGGAGACATACAAACACCTCTTCCTGGAGAAGGTCTGGCCACCGTATCGTTGAAACACATCTTTTATGCAGTGCGTGCCATGGGAATGAATCGTTCATCAGGTGGTTCTCTCTCTCTCTCTCTCTCTCAGATGCCTCAGCTGAAGCCGGAGACGATCAGCATGACGGGACTCAATTTGTTTCAGCATCTGTGCAATCTGGCTCGTCTGGCCACCAGCGCCTACGACAGCAGCTCCAACTGCGAGGTTCACAGCAGCAGATCTCAAAATCTCTGTGGTTTCTCTCGATGTGTTCTCCCTGACCGTTCTCTCTGTCTTTCTGTAGTTGTGTGGTATGGATCAGCTGTGGGGAATCGCGTTGAGGGCTCAGTCTGCAGACATCAGCCGCGCTGCCATCCAGTACATCAACTCCTATTACATCAGCGGTCAGTAAACACCAAACACTTACATATGTTGTATCATTCATAACCATTGAACATTTACATTTTGATAACCCCTCAGTTTCAGTCGTCAAGTCACCTTTATTTTTATAGCACTTTATGCAGTAGAGATTGTTTAAAGACAGTTTCACAGTATTAAACACAAAGTAACAGAATCAGATTCAAACTTCAAAACTGAGGCAAATCCAAATTCTGTTCTAAATCAGGTGTGACTGATTAATGTGTCATTATGCACTTCAGATCAGTTCAGTGTTGGTTCAGTTCAGTAACTGTGTAAAGTTCATTCATTATGAAACAAGTTCAATTCAGTGATAAGCAAACTAGTGTTCGGTTATTCAGCTGATGTCAGATCAGTGTTGATTTAGATTAGATTAGATGTAGGAAGAAGCTTTTTTTTTTTTAGCTTTTAATGCTACTAGACATTTTTTAAAGTACTTTAAATGTTTTTTAAAAGTTTTTTAAAATACCAAGAAAGTATTGATTTAGATTTTTTTGTTATGTTATGTTGTAAAAGGGTTATTATTTTTATTATTATTTAAAAACATATTTGTTAATTGAAATAGAGCAGAAATAAAATGTAAATGTTAGATGGAAAAAAATTGAAAGTAAACAAATATTAGAAATGTTGCCTGGAAGTTAATAACTACTAAGCTGAAAGAAGAATAAATTAAGCATAAATAGTAATATTAAAAAAATTATAATAATAAACTAAAATTAAAATGAAAACTAAAAATATATTTATTACATTTATTAAAAAATTTATAAAAACTATGATAGTATCTAAATAATGCTGAAATAACTGGTTGTAAGAAACTTAATGTCTCTTTTAGTTTAAACTACTAAGATATATAGATAGATATATAGATAGATAGATAGATAGATAGAACGATGGATAGATAGAACAATAGATGGATAGATAGATAGAACGATAGATGGATAGATAGATAGAACAATAGATAGATAGAACGATAGATGGATAGATAGATAGATAGATAGATAGATAGATAGATAGATAGATAATGAAAGAGTGAATAGGTGAATAAATAAACAAATAAATAAATAAATGAGGGTTGAGTTTTGATTTTGATGAACTGACAAATCCTTCAAATGGCAGGTGTTTTTACATCATTTGATGACACTGATTAAATCTGCAGTTTGTCCCATTGGAGTGTGATGGCTGTGTTTTTTGTTTTGTATTATGAATATAAGTAAGTGTGTAATGCGATGTATTTATTAGTCTGTGTGACCGCAGGTAAAACGGGTCTGGAGAAGGAGCAGGAGTTCATCAGTAAGTGTATGGAGAGCTTGATGATGACGTCTGCTAACCTGGAGAAAGACGCCCACTCCAGCCTGACCATCATAGAGAGAGGACTGCTGCTGCTCAAAACACACCTGGAGGCCTTCAGACGCAGGTACACACA